AATGGTGGAATCGAGCGCGGGGAAAAAAAGGAATTAGGCTCGTAAAGCGGGTTTATCTCGTGGAACGGCTCGGAAATGCGACATTATTGAGGATGATAAATTTTATCGCTGGACATCTCTATTGAAAAGAGGGAAAAATGATGGGTTGTCATCGTCATCGTCCCCACTTTCTTATTATTGCCGCAGAATTTTACCCAGTAAGTTTGTTTTTTTCTAATTTTGCCGATCAGTCTATCGTAGTTACCCCTTTCGTAAGCCTGTTTGTCTTCATTTCCATTTTCTTTTGTGGACTCGGGGAGGATAAAACATTTTCGAAATTATTTTTTTATCATTATTATTATTCCTGTCCTCATCGCAATGCATCATTTTAAGGATAAGCACACTTTGAAATTATATATGTTTATATGTTTTTTTTTTATAGAAATTCATAAATCAAGATGTGCCTTCTACTCGGTAAATGAATATTCTAGGCAGCTTTCATGGACTCTCTCTGAAAGTATAAATTTGATTTGCATAACCTTAGAAAGGTGTAAAGGGGCTTGTAAACCCTTGTTAGTAGTCCACGTGACCGTCTAGGGTTATATGCGAGATTATATTTGATGATTTACAACGCCTCGTCCTCTCGACCATGAATATGTATGTGTTGTGAGTTGTAAGCTGTCCTAACACTCGAAACGGTCCTGGTTGTTAGTATGTGTGCCCTTCAGTCGGCCATATAAGTGTCATTGGCATCGTCGAGGAGCCCAGGGTCGAGGTGTTATAAATGCTGGAAGGAAGATGTAACCTTTTGTGTCACGGCTGTTGTGTTGTGTCTGGACCGTTGCCCGGATCGCCTTATCGCGTGGGCATATCTTGGTGCGGGAAACTGCTGCTACCATGTTAGGCGTGGCTGTGTCGCTGTAAGGGCGTGTTGTTGTCCTTTAATGGTTATTGTGTGGGAACCGAGAAGGGGAAAATAGGTTTTTCGGATTTGGCGGAAAAGGAGGAGAGACGAAGAAAACGAAGAGCGATCCGTTTGGAGGGTGTACCTTTCCTATTCCTGCGTTATTGGGTAGATTTGCCCTGATTAGTGGATTCTCCTATGCAATTACCTTGTGACTGGTAGTTAGGGAAACGGCGATTTTCAGCGCGTGAGCATCGAGGGAGGGACGAGGAGGGTGTGGCTGTGAGTGCCAGCCTACAGGAACCGAATACACGCTGTCATTACCCCCGATTCGTCACCTTCCAGACGTGTGTTTACCTGCGCCACCGCCTAGGCCTATGTCAGCTGTTGGGCGTGTCACTGTCTCGTATTATCATGGTGGGCGGTGGGTTAGGGTGGGCTGAGGGAGGGCGTGCTATGTTTGGAGGGGCTTGTGGTTAAGGCCGGTTCTCGGTTATACGATCTCAATCTAGCCTAGACAGTCCCAGCAGGAAGTGTTAAACGGTTCCACTTGTTGCAAGGGAACACTTAAAACTCCCTCTCCCTCCCTCCCACTGCCCCTAAAACTCAAAACTGACCGAAGCGATTGCCCAGAATGTAATGTCTGCGGCCGAGGCTTTATGCAAATTAATCCTTCCTCGTCCATAAATCTCGAGCCGTCGGTTTTGGGCCACTTAAATTGTCATTTATCCCGTTTGTGAGAAAAAGAAAAAGTTGCGTTGATAGCAGTTTGAGGGCAGAGAACCGGACGCCTGTGAGGTCGGATATTTTCTGACACGGAAGCGATTGAATTACGAAAAATCAGAAACGGTACTAATGGTATACAGGTTGCTTAGATACAAATAAATGAAACTCTGTTAAGTAAATAAGAAATCACACATTGAAGCCAGATTGGGTTAGGAATGAACATCAGGTTGGAAATTGCCTATTTCGTTAAGTGAGGAATGATCTTCTGAATGATTGCTCGTCCCAGCAAGGCCACAAACGAGCATTCTAACACACGATCACGTTTACATCAGGCATATATCACGAGCGTGACTAATGGTGGATGGCCGCCCGACGCCACATCTACTTTGTTTAATTGCATGTTGCGTTGTAGGTGGGTGGGCGTTGGGAAGGGTGGTGGGCGTGAGGCATTGTGGTGCAGAGCGACGGATGGGTGGGAGGGGGGGAGATGAGGATGCAGGGGAAAGGGTTAGGGAAAGGCTTGGGTTTAGAAAGAAACTATGGAAATTGGGTGATATAGAGAAGTGAAAACGAGGGAAAACTTTCTCTTTGGTAGATAAATGCAAAGAAATTATTATGTATTTTTTTTAATAGTTATTTGATAGTGCTTTGTTATATCAAGATAATGATTTGTTCCCTTGTGTCAATTAATTACCATTTCCAGGTATGATAACAGGTAGAATATAATTAAACAGTACTTCATTAGCAATGATATGCAATATACACGAACTTTCTCCCCCCCCTCCCTCCCTCAAACAAAACTTTCTGAATGCCAACGATTTTCACTTTTCATTTCTCAAAACCAAAAGATTAAACGCATAGAATTCTAACCTTTCTCTCTCTCTCTTCCAGGAATACCAACCGCTACGTCCACCAGCCGGGTCGCATCGAGGACTACGTGCCAGGCCATTCCTCACTCTCCGAAAAAGAGCAGAAGAAGGTAGGTTTGAGCTGGAGGAGGAGGTTGACTGCTCTGTGGTGATGGGGGGAGAAAGGGGTTAAGGAGTAAAGAAAGGAGTAGGGAGAGATAAAAAAAAAGGAGTAAGGATAGTAGGTGAAGAAGGAGGGGGAGGTAAGGGGAGGAGGACTGGGATAGGCGAGCCAGCGGAGTAAACGAGAGAAGGCAGAGAATAGAATAAGGAAGAGAATAGGTTAAAATGCTAAGATACAGGAGATGACATAGGAGTAAGAGGAGAGTAAATAGATAAGAAAGATAGGATAATGAGAGAAATGAAAAGGGAATTTGGGAATAAACTTGAATAAGGAGAAAGAGGGAAGACAGTAGAGAGAGAACAAGACGAGTAGCGAGTGAGTGTGTAAGAATCAGGAGAGAATGGATGAATAGGGAAAAGGAATAGGTAAAATAAGACTGGAAGATAATAAGTGATAACAAGATTGGGAATAACTGAGGTTAGGGTGAAAATTGCACGTAGGATGAGCTCTTTAGATAAATTAGGGAAGAATAGAGAGTTTGGATAAGTGAATGAACGAAGGGGAAATAGATAAACACAGGGATAGGAAAAGAATAAAGACAGGCAACGGTTGAATAGCAATATTAGAAAATAACAAGATACAGATGGAAATGATATAACAGTTAGGACTATTTCACTAAGCCGTGTGTAAATTTTTGACGAGGCAGCTGTCAGTAGAAGGAATTTATGCAAAATTTATAACGGCAATGAACACAAATTAGTCTTTAAGTCAAAATAAGCCAAAATATTGGACACCCTATTTTTTTCTATTTTGTGCCTCCACCTTTTTTTTTTTTTTGCCTCTCCACCACCAAAAGCCTACGTGTCTTGCATGCACCTCTGCTATCCGAGCACTTTTGCACACAGCAACGACAGGTGTACAGAGGTGAACATCAAGGCCCTCTACATGTTCACCCTGAAAAGTACATGTGTTCAGCACGCTGTAGCACGGCCATGACTAGTTCATCTCAGCCAAATCTTGATGTTTAGTTCAATATGATATCCCTAAAAATGTTAACTCTTTTTTTCTATTCACTTACATACACCCTCCCTACCCCGGCTCTACCCTCTATACTTATTAACTTAATGATAATGCGCTCCCTAATTGTACTGCCTAAAGGAAGTGTTGATTGACTTTCTACCTCTCTTTTTTCAAAAAATCGGGGAATCCGACAGCCAAAAGTGAGTTATTTAAAGGAAATGCCTTTTAGCATTGACGTTGGTTTGGAAGTAAGGACGAACGGTGGATTAGTCGACGGTAAATGTTCTACACTCGACCAACAGCAAGATTTAAAGACAGAGAAGAAGAAACGGACACAGGTCTATGCACAGAGTATTCGTAAACATTGATCGACATATCCACGTTTCGTAAAACAGCATTTATATATTCCTCAAAATATTGATGTTATTTTTTTTTTAAGATAATGAGAATGCTATACATTATGATTCAGTTTGATTGATACGTAGCGACACAGCCAAGTTACATACAACCACTAAGGACCGTAAACCCCCCCGCGTCCCAGAACTAGCTTGGATTCTAGAATGCCAGCTCTAGGTTGTAGCCTTGACGTTGATGTTGTTGTTGTTGTTGTTGTAGTGACGCTACACAGAAGTCCAGCCCCGTCAATAGAACATGTGTAGACTGCTTTTTTTGTTTTCCAAGTCCATCCACACAGACATAGCTGTGTTTGACATCCATTGTAGCATGAAGATAACTTGGCTGTGCTTGCTGTCCCCAAACAAATTTGAATATATGTGACATACTTTTAGAGACATGTGACCTATATTGTGTATATATGTAGTGGCTTTGAAGGTTCCGTGCCCGCTGTGGGTAGCGCAGGCGGTGGCACTGTTGCCTCGGACTGCCACGTACTCCATGCACGCTCAACCTTGGCCTCATAATGCACTACCTGATGGCACTCACGAAGCCGCCATCTCTTTCAAGTCATTACGGAGAACAGTTGCCCAATAATTGTTCACAAGATCACGAAATTCATAAAGGACAGGATATCTTTCTCACTTAAAGTACACTTCATTATATCAAACCCACATAAGATTCAGTATATAAAAAAATCAACCCAAAAATATCTATCCTAATAAAAAAGGCGAAAATGAAAATAAATTATGAAAAAAGCAAAGGTTGAGTCGTGCGGGAGGTCGTTCGGCGCCCTTTTTTAGTCGTAGCAGCTGTAGTGCTTGGTCACATGCGCATCACGTTGTTCTCTTCTTTTCCATGTACAAAATCCAGAACCCGGAGGCTGAAATTAAACACGAGGTTGGTTTGTTTTTTAGTTTTTATTTTCCATGTTTTGTGTTTCCTTCTTCTTTTTTTGTTTTTGTTTTTTTCTTTTCTTTCACTTTCATTGGTTTATATTCGGTTT